GCTTATAATCACTGTAGACAACAAATAGTATGTCAATTAGAAAACAGTTCACAAAACACAGAGCCCTTTACCATATATTATCTAATGTAATCCATGAATCAGTTCATAAGCATTATAACCAAGGGATGATGAATTTAAGTACATTCTTTAAGGTCATCTGTTGCTAAGTGGCAGAGGCAGGTTTCAAATCAGATTCAACATTGACTAATTCCATTATATCATGAAGCTCTTTCCTATGCCCAAAAACTAAATATTGATTTCTGCTTTATATCAGAGTAAGTCTGGTTTATTTTTCTTTTATTTATTTATTTATTTATTTTTATTTTTATTTTTTTTTAACTTTAATGAATATAAATTTCCAAAGTACGATTTATGGATTACAATGGCTTCCCCCACATACCGTCCCTCCCACCCACAACCCTCCCCTTTCCCACTCCCTCTCCCCTTCCATTCACATCAAGATTCATTTTCGATTATCTTAATATACAGAAGATCAGCTTAGTATACATTAAGTAAGGATTTCAACAGTTTGCTCCCACACAGAAACATAAAGTGAAAAATAATAGATGATTTTTTTTAAATGATGATGAAATCAGATCAGACCTATTGTCATGTTTAATCCCACTGAGAGTCAAGTTGGGAGTTGATAATTTCTTTTTTTTTTTTTTTTTACAGAGGATCAGTTTAGTATGCATTAAGTAAAGATTTCAACAGTTTGCACCCACATAGAAACACAAAGTGAAATATATTGTTTGAGTACTCGTTATAGCATTAAATCTCAATGCACAGCACATTAAGGACAGAGATCCTACATGAGGAGTAAGTGCACAGTGACTCCTGTTGTTGACTTTACCAATTGACACTCCTGTCTATGGCATCAGTAATCTCCCTATGCTCCAGTCATGAGTTTCCAAGGCTATGGAAGCCCTCTGAGTTCTCCGATTCTTATCTTGTTTAGACACGGTCATAGTCAAAGTGGAGGTTCTCTCCTCCCTTTAGAGAAAGGTACCTCCTTCTTTGAAGACCTGTTCTTTCCACTGGGATCTCACTCACAGAGATCTTTTGCCAGAGTGTCTTGGCTTTCCATGCCTGAAATACTCTCATGGGCTTTTCAGCCAGATCCGAATGCCTTTAGGGCTGATTCTACTCAGCAGACTCATAGAATGGCAGATGTCCTAAATAGCACTCTGGTTTATTTTTCTATTACTTTTATCTGATCTCTTTTCTAACTTCACATTGCAATTTTCCTACATATACCCATGGGTTAATCTCCCAAAACCACATCTTTCTCATTGGTATCTATATTTTTCCGGATGCTTCTGATCCTCATTTGGAATACTTTTACATGGTTCTTCTTTTAAAAAGATCTCTTTTATCACCTTTTCAATAAGATTTCCCTACTATTTCCTGCCACAATGATTTTTCTTTTCCCTTCCTTACATTTTTTTCTGTTTCATCACTAAATTTTTTTTTTTATTTGACAGGCAGAGTTAAGCAGTGAGAGAGAGACAGAGAGAAAGGTCTTCCTTCTGCTGGTTCACTCCCCTAATGGCCGCTAGGGCCGGCGCACTGCATCAATCCGAAGCCAGGAGCCAGGTGCTTCCTCCTGGTCTCTCATGTGGGTGCAGGGCCCAAGCACTTGGGCCATCCTCCACTGCCTTCCTGGGCCACAGCAGAGAGCTGGACTGGAAGAGGAGCAACCGGGACAGATTCCGGTGCCCCAACCAGGACTAGAACCTGGAGTACCGGCACCGCAGGCAGAGGATTAACCTAGTCATCACTAAATCTTGTACTGAATCATAGAAGTCTTATATTGCTTGGTCTGTAGAGAAAGGTGATATACTTCAACCAATGTCAAAAACTTCCTTGATGTTAGGAAGTATGTTTTCCCTAAAGACCAGCAGTGTGGAAGCTCACTCAGAATCCATAAGTAAGTAATCCAATAAGTATGTATGCATATATGCACAGATGAGTACTAATACAGTTAACACGTACATAAGATCCATAATCTATTATCTTACCTATCGGCTAAAAAGCTTTTTTAAATAGCACTATGGTGAGTTGCAGCATTTGACATACTTTTAAAAATTTTATAAATGATCAAGCAGAATAAAAAATAACTTTCTCCTTGATGTAAATATCACTAACTTTAAAAATCACTTGATTTTTAAAATTATGATCTTTTGTGAATGATATAGTACTTTAATTTTACTTTCCTTTTCAGACATGCATAGTGGATAACAAGATCACAGACATTTTTAAGGAGTTACAGAGGAAAACTCAAAGGCTATTAAAATAGTTTCTAATTTCTGGGCACATTCCAAATTATTTTCAAATAGAAATCTAAAGAAATGAGAAAAATTTAGCCGATTTCTAATTCTTATGAGTGACAATCTTAGAATCAATGTAATGTTGTCAAAATTTTATTTCCTTGAAATATTTTAGATCAAGTTAACTTTGTTTTTGACATATAAAGATTCTATATATTAATGGGGTTCCATGTAATATTTCAATACATGTATATGTTATATGATATTCAAATCAGGGTAAGCATATCTATCGCCTCAAACATTTACCATTTCTTGATGCTGAGCAATTCAAAATCCTTTCTGATAGCTTTTTTTTTAAATATAGTATTTTTTTAAATATACAAAAAATATATATATTTTAAATATACAAAAAAAGTATATTTTTTTAAATATACAAATTTCTATAGTCACCTTGCTGTGCAACAGAATACCAGAACTTGTATCTCTTATCTCATTAATCTAATGACAACTTAGTATCTGGTAACCAATCTTTTTTATTTTATTTATTTTTTTGACAGGCAGAGTGGACAGTGAGAGAGAGAGAGAGAAAGGTCTTCCTTTGCTGTTGGTTCACCCTCCAATGGCCACCGCGGCCAGCGCACCACGTGGATCTGATGGCAGGAGCCAGGTGCTTCTCCTGGTCTCCCATGGGGTGCAGGGCCCAAGCACTTGGGCCATCCTCCACTGCACTCCCTGGCCACAGCAGAGAGCTGGCCTGGAAGAGGGGCAACCGGGACAGAATCCGGCGCCCTGACCGGGACTAGAACCCGGTGTGCCGGCGCCGCAAGGCGGAGGATTAGCCTAGTGAGCCGCGGCGCCGGCCGGTAACTGAAGAAAAGTGACTCCATTTTTAAACAATAAAAAAAGCAGCCTCCGTTTCCCATAGCAGACCTAGGTCCTTGTAAAAGCAGGCATTCAGGCATTCTGGAGATATCAAAGCTTAGCAGGGACAGCTAGCTCGGTAGACCAAGGACAGCACAGTAGAGATTGCTGAACAAAGTAACTCCCTGTGCCCAGAGCTCCCGCGCTGTAAGCCCCCGCTGTAACTCCCTGTACCCAAAGCTTCCATGCTGTATGTAACTCTTTTTTCCTGCTGATGTAGCCCTTTTTTTCCTTTAAAAACTCTCCCAAACAAAGACTGGGGCCTCACTCCTTCCTCTGCTGTGCCGGTTGGTTGGATGGGGTCCCTGTCATGGCTTGTACTCACGAATAAACCTTGCTTTTGCAGTTCGGTGTGATCCACTCTCTGGGGGTCTCTGCAGGGATCTAACAATCTGGGCACAAAATACTTTTTGGTGCCCAACATATTCAATTTTTTTTTTTTTTGACAGGCAGAGTGGACAGTGAAAGAGAGAGAGAGAGAGAAAGGTCCTCCTTTTGCCGTTGGTTCACCCTCCAATGGCCGCCGTGGCCGGCACACTGCGCTGATCCGATGGCAGGAGCCAGGTGCTTCTCCTGGTCTCCCATGGGGTGCAGGGCCCAAGCCCGTGGGCCATCCTCCACTGCACTCCCGGGCCACAGCAGAGAGCTGGCCTGGAAGAGGGGCAACCAGGACAGAATCCGGCGCCCCGACCGGGACTAGAACCCGGTGTGCCGGCGCCGCAAGGCAGAGGATTAGCCTAGTGAGCCACGGTGCTGGCCATCAATCTTCATACTTCTCTCCTCATCCTTACTTTCCCCAACCTCTGGTAACCAGTTCTACTCTCAACTTTTATGAGATCAACTATTTGAGATTCCACATGAGTGAGATCATGTGGTATTTGACTTTCTGTGCCTGTGTTATTTAACATAATAACCTCCAGTTCCATCCTTGTTGTTGTAAATGACAGGACTTCATCTTTTTATGGGTGTGTAGTTTTCCTTTGAGTACAGATAAAAAAACTTCAAAAAGTTTATGGAAAATGGAATAAAAAATTTTTGGTGCAAAAAATTGGATATAACCCTGCAGTGGGGTTGCTCACTGATCTGAGAGTTCCATCTTTACTTTTCTGAAGAAGCTGCATATTATTTTCCATCATGGATATATTAATTTATATTCTCATCAGTAATATGTATATTATCAAAAATTACACATAGGTTAACAAATTATCGAACCAAAAGAGATGTCTTTTAATTCCATTTTTCCATGAAATGTTTGAAGCTGCCTTGTATTTCTATATTTAGGGGATCCAATAAAGAATGTATATATATTTAAATTGTTATTTTCTCTTACTGAATTGAATCCATTATCATTGTGAGGGTTTAGGTAATAGTTTGGATATATAAAAAGCACATTTTTTAAATTTTTTTAACTTTTATTTAATAAATATAAATTTCCAAAGTACAACTTTTGGATTATAGTGGCTTTTCCCCCCATTACCTCCTTCCCACCTGCAACCTTCCCATCTCCCACTCCTTCTCCCATCCTGTTCTTCATCAAGATTCATTTTCAATTATCTTTATATACAGAAGATCAACTTAGTATATATTAAGGAAAGATTTCAACAGTTTGCACCCACACAGATACACAAAGTATAAAGTACTGTTTGAGTACTAGTTTTACTGTTAATTCGCATAGTACAACACATTAAGGACAGAGATCCTACCTGGGGAGTAAGTGCACAGTGACTCTCATTGTTGATTTAACAATTGACACTCTTATTTATGATGTCAGTAATCACCTGAGGCATTTATCAAGAGCTTCCATGGCTATGGAAGCCTCTTGAGTTCACCAATTCCTATCTTATTTAGACAAGGCCATAATCAAAGTGGAACTTCTTGCCTCCCTTCAGAGAAAGGTACCTCCCCTCCTTCTTTGATGGCCCGTTCTTGTTTTAAGGCCTAGATTCTGGGGCCGGTGCTGTGGTACAGCGTCCATATGGGTGCCAGTTCAAGACCCAGCTGCTCCAATCCAGCTCTCTGCTATGGTCTGGGAAAGCTAAATCTTTAAAAAACAAAGAACTAGATTCTAATTCTAATGTTAATGGACTAAGGATTGAACTATTTTTTACTAATGAAAGGAACTGTTTTTATTGCCAATATGAAATGTTTCAGACCCTCAGAAATTTAAGTTTCTAAAATGTAACCAAAGCTTAATTTCACAAATAAACGATCACTTGCATCTAATAGATCCACTTTGTCCAGTTTAAGGAGAAAAATTACTACATATTTCTCTCATTACATAATATAGCATGGGTATCAGAGAGAGTTTCTTGGAGATCCAGTAAACAAAGCTTGGATCTATGGAACTAAGTGAATCACAGCTAGGAATGAATAACTACCAACAAAAAGACTACTTCAGTGGAACTTCCACTGCAGTTTCCACATGCCACTCAAACTTTAAGGATTGAACTTAATCCAAATATAGTGCCTGAGAGTGGAGCCTGGGATAGTGTTTAGATTGTATAAAATTGCTGGCATGGAGCTCTATGATTGAATCATGATGACTTTATAAGGAGAGACTGCAAGAAAGTCTGCATGCTTCCTATCTCTGCTCCTGGATTTCCATGTAATTATCCCTCCACCATCCTCCAACCTCGCCAGATGTCTAAACCAATGGGTGATCCTCCAAAATTATAAACTGATATACTTCTATTATCCTAAGTAGCTTCTCTCAGGTTTTTTAGTTGTAATAATGACAAACTGACTAGAGCATTCTTAATCTGTGTATATAATCACTTTTTAAAAAATATTTATTTATTTGAAAATCAAAGTTAGAGAGAGAGAGAAAGAGAGAGAGAGAGAAATCTTCCATTTACTGATTCATTCCCCAAATGGCCACAATGACTGGGTCTGGGCCAAGCCAAAGCCAGGAGCCAGGAACTTCATCCAGGTCTTCCACGTGGATGGCAGGAGCACAGGGACTTGGGTCATCTTCTGCTGCTTTCTCAAGCACATTGCAGGGAGCCATATTGGAAGTGGAGAAGCTGGGACTCAAACTGGCACCCATAGAGGATGACAGTGCTGCAAGTAGTGGCTTAACCCTCTGTGACACAGCACTTGCCCCTATACAATTACTCTTACAGGTGAATTTTATAACTTCTGGTATTTTTTTCTTACTCAATAGTGGCTCTTTATTTTAATTGGATGAATGCCTTTAGCATTTATTGTAGGCTAGATCTGGTGTTGAAAAATTCTCTCAGCTTTTGTTTGATGACATCTTTACCTCTCTTTCATGTCCATCAGTTTTGTTGGGTATGCTATTGATTTAATTATTTTACAAAATTTAAAGGCAGAGATAGATACATGTAGACATACCTAGAAAGACAGAGATTTTCTCTTACTTGTTCATTCCTTAAATGCCACAGCAGCTGGGGCTGAGCCAAGCTCAAGTCTTGAGCCAGAAATTCAATCTGGGTCTTCAAATGGGTAGCAGGGACCCAAGTACTTGAGTCATCACCTACTGCTTCCCTGGTTGTGCATTAGCAGGAAGATGGAATCAGCAACAAAGACAGAACTTGAACTGAGTCACTCAGATATGTGATGTGGGTATCCCAATTGCATTTTAACTCTTGTGCCAAAGATGTACCCTGGGAATGGATTTCTTGGCAGTTTTTTCCTTAGCACTGTGAAGAGCTCATCCTACTCTCTTCCAACCAATAAAGTTTCTGCTGAGAAATTCACTGTCAGGCAAATTGGAATACTTTCATGCATTATTATTTTCTTTACCATTGCTGCTTGGAGAATTCTGTCTCTGTCTTTTGAGAATTTACAGTGTATTATGTTTGGGGGAAGACTTGGTTGAGTTCAATATCATGTTTAACCTTCCTGAAACTATGTATGTGTGTCCTTGTCTAGGTTTGGAAAGGTTTTGTTAGGACCTCTCTGAATAAGTTCTCTACTCCTTTGGCATTCTCAAGTCTCTTGAGCCCCAGTAGCTCAAATATTTGCTCTTTTAATGTAGCTCAAAGTCTGTATGCTTTATTAACTCTGCATCATCTTTTTTTAATTTATTTGACAGATAGAGTTAGAGAGTGAGAGAAACAGAGAGAAAGGTCTTCCCTCTGCTGGTTCACATCCCAAATGGCCGCTATGGCTGGCGCTGTGCGGATCTGAAGCCAGGAGCCAGGTGCTTCCTCCTGGTCTCCCACGCAGGTGCAGGGGCCCAAGCACTGGGCCATCCTCCACTGCCTTCCCGGGCCACAGCAGAGAGCTGGACTGGAAGAGGAGCAATTGGGACTAGCACCTGGCACTCACATGGGATGCCGGCCCCGCAGGCAGAGGGTTAACCTAGTGAGCCACAGCGCCGGCCCATCTGCATCATCTGTTTTATATTTTCTCTGTGTATTTTTAAATGCCCTGTCTGAACTTACTGATACTTCGTCTAATCTATTCTGTTACTGATGCCATCTATTGTGTTTTTCATTTTCTTTAGTGTACTTCTCAGCTCAAGACTTTCTTTTTGATTGTTAAACTACTACTGTTTCTCTTAAAATTCTCTAAATCAAGCACTGAATTGTCTGAGTTTCCCTGAGTTTTGTTGAATTTCCTTAAAACAGCTGTTTTACATCCTAAGAATTCATATATAGCAATTGCTTTATGATTGATTTCTGTGTCATTTTTTTCTGTTATGTAAGGTCGCAGTTTCTTCAAAGTTACTGATGCTTTTTGGCATATGATGGCCTCTCCATACTGAATGATTAGCTATTTACTTCGTTGCAAGACCAGGTTGGTGCATTATTACTTTTTCTGCAATAGAGGGAGCCTCAAATTCAAGTGTGTCCCAAATCACAGCTAGTGTGTTGGGAATGTGCCTAAAAAGGGTGGTCCATCTTCACAAGCTACCACCTTGTGTTGAGAAGAGTCCAGAGGCATGAAACAGCATCACTCGCCTTAACCAGGCACTGCAGATTCTGCCTGGGTATTGGCCTCACTGTGGAGGGACATGAGATGTACGTCCCTCTTCTTCCCCCAAGTAGACAATACTCTTTCTGGATTTGACTTCCTACTGCTGCAGCAGGGATGGGGTAGGCAGTAACATGGCCACGAAGGCCACAATGCAGGGTTGTCCTACAGCCTTCAGACTGCTTAGATCAGTGCAATACAGGAACATTACAAAAATGACACTGCTGTGGTTTGTTTATGGCCTGACACAGTTGCAGCCAGCTAGATGTGATGGTGGCTGGAAAACAAGTTAGACCCACTGGGGAGACATGCACAATTGGCACAAGATAGGGTTCAGAGTTTCCATTTGCGGGAATTGGCTTAGGGGCAGGGGCTGTGTGGCTGTGCCTGGATCCATGCCTAAGGTGTGGAATTCATTCCTTCTCCCTCCCTCAAGTGCGAGGTGTTTCCTTGCTGTATTGCTTGGAATTAGAATGTGGTGGTGCGGGATACCCGAAATTTGCCTTCTTCAATGCATCTTTTCTTATTATGCTAACAGTGCTGTCATTTGTCATCTGGTTTCCCTAGCTCTTGTGAAGATGGTTTCATGTATGAAAAGCTGTTCAAATGGAAGTTTCTGTGGGGAGATTGCTGATGGATGGTCTTACTCTAAACTATCTTGCTATGTCCCCTCTTCCCCATTTTCAAATTAAAATACTTTATACAAGTGAACATCTAACATAAGGAAAAGAAAATGACTTTTCTTCCTTTCAAAGATTTCACTTAGGAGCTAGCATTGTGGTACAGTGGGGTAAGCCACTGCCTTTTTTTTTTTTTTTTTTTTGACAGGCAGAGTTAGACAGTGAGAGAGAGAGACAGAGAGAGAGAAAGGTTTTCCTTCCGTTGGTTCACCCCCTAAATGGCTGCTACGGCTGCCGCGCTGCGCCGATCCGAAGCCAGGAGCCAGGTGCTTCCTCCTGGTTTCCCATGCAACTGCTTTTGATGCCAGCATCCCATATGAGCACTGATTCAATTCCAGGCTGCTCAGCTTCTGATCCAGCTCCCTGCTAACATGCCAGAGAAAGCAGCAGAAGATGGCACAAGTGCTTAGGCTCCTGAAGCCATATGGCAGATTGAGACAGAGTTCCAGGCTCTTGCCTTAGGCCTGGCCCAGCCCCAGCCATTGTGTTAATTTGAGGAATGAACCATCAGATTGAAGTGTGCCGCCCTCTCTTCCTCTCTCCTCTCTGTAACTCTGCTTTTCAAAACAAAAATCTTCAAAAAATTTTTTCATTTAAAATTTCCATTAATTAATCATTTCATTGTAAACATTTTATATGTTTTAGATTTAGTAAATGATCTTATTGTACGCTAATATAAAACATCTACTATAAAACATCAAGAATAATATTTGTATTTACATTAATTCCATGTAATACATAAGTTATTTCAGTGAAGTGATAAATAACCAATAATTATCACAGTACAGTTAACCTATAAGGAAGTACGACTCTATTATTGATTGTGATGAAGCCAAGAGATATCATATATTAAGAAGATAAATGAGTAAGTGAAGAACATATGGAGAAAGTCAGACAATTACATTTTTTGAATAAGTTTATGACTTTAGCACTTTTAAAGTTAATGATTATGGTTCTGTTTTCCTGCTCAAAACTATCTAAATGTTTTAAATGACTTTTAAAGTAAGAATTTCCTATTCTTGCCCTGCTAAGAGTTTAGTTATACTTGATATTTTAAAGGTATGCAACAGATAAGCATCAAAAAGAACCTAGGTTTAACTATGTAAAGTGAAGACAACACTGTAAAAACATTCCATTTTAAATTTATAGCGTCTAAAGGATTTAAATAATTTTTTGGCAATTTAAAATAGTTGTTTGTTAAACTAGAAGTTGATCCTTAACTGAATCTCTCTAGTGAAAGTCCAGAGGTATAAATAAAATAAAAGCATAAAGATGATTTAGGAAATAGTATCTTTTGGTTGGAAGAGTGTAACAAAAGAAGAGACAGTGCCATTTGTGACACTGCAAAAATTCACTCAGGTACTAGATAAGTCACTTGGAAGATGTTGGTATCTTTCTCTGCAGCACAGAGAAAAGCACTTGCTGTGGAGCTAAGGGGAGAACTATCAAGGTATCTGCATGATATTAAAGAGTCTGTAAGGAATAAACCAAACCAAACACGCCACAATGTGCACTTTAGCAAGGTCTTGTGGCACTACTGAGCGTTGGCAGAGAAACAATTTGCCAGTTCCCTCTTTCTCTTGTTCTGTCCCTGGGGTTGCACAATCGGATCTGTGGTGAATGTGATCCAGTGCTGTTTGTTGCCATTAAGTAGGTTTGAAGCACTGTGCACTGACAAATTCACACTGTATTCCCTGTAAAATATCTATGACTACAATGCATTCTTACAGAAACCGTGTGAAAGCTAACATTATTCACATACAAAGAAAGCCTAAAATATTTTTCATTTTGATCCATATTACAAAATTTCAGGGACGGCGCCATGGCTCACTAGGCTAACCTTCCGCCTTGCGGCGCCGGCACACCAGGTGCTAGTCCCGGTCGGGGCGCCGGATTCTGTCCCGGTTGCCCCTCTTCCAGGCCAGCTCTCTGCTGTGGCCCGGGAGTGCAGTGGAGGGTGGCCCAAGTACTTGGGCCCTGCACCCCATGGGAGACCAGGAGAAGCACCTGGCTCCTGCCTTCGGATCAGCGCGGTGCGCTGGCCATGGAGGCCACTGGAGGGTGAACCAACGGCAAAAGGAGGACCTTTCTCTCTCTCTCTCTCTCTCTCTCTCTCTCACTGTCCACTCTGCCTGTCACAAAAAAAAAAAAAAAATTTTTTTTTCAAGCCAGTTTTTTTTTTTTTTTTTTTAGCCAAAAATCCCCTCATTAGTCTGCTACTCTGAAGCTGTGATTTCTTTGGAGAGAAAACAAAATTGGTTTGGCATTCAGACCACGCAGGATTCCACAGCCTCGAAGTAGAATCACAAACACTGCCCAGCCAGAACTCGGGTGCCGGAGCGCGTGGGCTGGCTGGTGGACAGCCTGTGGACCTCTGCGGCCCTTACCTTCCGCACATGAGGAGGGGCACGAGGTCCAGTCACTGAACGCAGTCACAACACAGTCCTTCCTACACGGAAGCAGACATGGCCTCACCGTCTCTGGTCGAAGGCTTTCAGGGCACCTAGGAAAGCAAAGGGAAATTAGGAGACCTCTGTGCTAAGCCGGAAAACCAGATGGTTTAATTCCTCCTGGATATTTTTTGCTAAAACTGAAAATCTGTGTTACTGAACTTCAGGAACTTTTCCGCTTTGATAAAACCCATGCAACTAAATAAATTCTTTCAAACTAGGCCTCAATAAAACCTCTTAAGACAAGATACATAGATTTAATAATTGTAACTTTATGATTTCTAGAACAAGATATAAACAAATATTTTTATGAAACAAAGTTTATTCTCTTGTAATAATCCCTCTATTAATTTGTATTTTCTAATATACTAAAAACTCAATTCTATTTCTTTGTACAACTAGATAGGTTTTTTTGCCTCTTAGATGTTTCTACACTTTATTTTTACAAATTATATGTAGTATAAAATAAATTTAAATGGAATATATATTTTATCTAGCATATCCTTCAAATCAAGTATATTATTAACAACACTACTGTTCATTAAAAAATACACTCAGATAAATGATCATGATATGTAGTTTTTGCTTCATTCCTATTCTTGGTTTTCTTGGTACTCTTAATTTGTGTTCCATTTTGCTCTGATTTTACATTATGAGGTTTAAAATATCTTTTGGGGCAGGCATTAATCCAAACGGTTAAGATGCCAGTATTCCACATTGTAGTGCCTTGTTCAATACCTGGCTCTGGTTCCTGACTCCAGCTTTTTACCAATGCAGACTGTAGGGACCATGGAAACAGCTCAAGTAATTGGGTTACTGCCACCTTTGTGAGACACCCAGTTTGAGTTCCTGGTTCTTGGCTTTGGCTGAGCTTTGGCCACTGGTAGCATCTGAGAAGTGAGCCAGCAAATAGGAGCTCTCTCTCTCTCTCCTTCCATCTCTCAAATAAGTTTAAAGTGTCTTTTATACTTTTATGAATTATAGTACACTTATGGAACAAAAAGTGAGTAAAATAAGAATGGTCAATACTGGTTTAAAGAAAAGTAAAATATTCTGTGCTTAAGACTAATTATAGTGAAGTTAATGGAATTATTCTTTTTTAAAATAGGATGCTTATTGGGAACAGAAGAAAAAGAATGACAAAGCACTGAAATATCTTACCTTAAAAAAAAAAAAAAGGTTCTCATGTCCTACAAGAACAGGGAGCTGATGTGCTGATGTATAGGTTTGAAATATTTTTTTTCTCATTTTAAGTGATTCTCACATTTCTCAATTTTTCTCTACATTTTCATGATCTGGTTCTACTATCGTTAGTAGTCAAATTTTCATGAGTTTAAAACTAGAATTATACTAAGAAAAGAAAGCATATCCAAATTCACATAATAAAATCACTTTTTCTGATTCCTAAGTAATTTTCCTTTGAGGTTATATAAATCTCTACCAAGTAATAATCCAAACAACCAGTGTAACTCTTGTTAAAATAAATTGGCAAATCAGTGGGAAGTAGGATTTCAAAATACTTTACATGAGAGAAAATACATTTTTTGTAGGTCAAGATAAATCATCTTTTATCACACAAGTTAACCAGGTTTTCAGAACTCAACTATGAATGAAAAAAATCATTAATCTATTTCCCATACTTTCTCTATAGCGTTTTGGTGATACTTCATTTTTAATATATCATATTATTATAATTGTTGATCTTCAAATCTTTCTTCACACATAAATAGTATGATCTGTTTGATTAAATAAATACAGTCTCTTCTCTTTCAGTTTAAAACAATAGGGTCTATTAGGAACTAGATTTTAAATATATGTAGGAATCAATATTTCAAAAAGAAAAATCTCCCTGGTTTATGTTGAAAGTAAACTTGGATTTTCCTGTCATGACTATTCAAAGAAATGTAGATGTGAATCATGGAAGTCAATGTATTATCATAATTAAGACATAAATCATTCAAATTACCATTTAAAATGCATTTTCAACCAGCAAATATTTTATGGCAAAGCTTATTTAAAATCCAGGTAATTATTTTGGAACTATGGAATTATTGGTCAGTGATTATTATTGAAATGACCCATTTTCAGTGAGGCAACTTTATAACTTTAACAAGGAGAGAGCCTAACTCAATTGCATGCTCTTCAAATATGAGCCTTGAATAAATCAATGGAATTTACAATGTTATCACTGACAACTTCTAAATACTTGTATTCTGTTTTAGTTTAGGAGCAGCCACAGCAAGATACTTGGTTGACTGTGGAGAACAAAATTACTAACAACAAAGTCATTAAATGAACACACAAAGATAAATTATACAGCCTAGATTACATCCAATAATATGAATTCAGACTTCCTTTGGTGAGACAATTGGTTCGGTCAACATGCTTTTTTTCTGCTTTGTACTGTTTGTATTTAGTGTTTGTGGTTTGAATCAAGGGATTGATTTTCCCCCAAATCTTATTCAAGGTCAAATTAAACAGATGTGATAGGAGTTGAAGTTTGTTACTGGGAGGATAGATATGATCAATAACATTGATTTTACCATTGCACAGTAATCTATTTTATTAAGAGGAGTTTAAAACAAGGTTTCTATTTGCATTTGTGTTTCAAATGCCTGGTATTGGAATGCATTTACTGAATTTAACCTAGCATTTAGGAAGAAGGGCAGTAGCATTTTCTTTCGAATTCATAGTATTTGCTTAATTTTCCAGAATTTTAAGGAGTAAACAAATCCATTTGATTCAGCAAGTTTACTGATGTATTCAGGTCATTGAATAAAGACTGCAAGGGCAAAGTGAATTTTCACTGTATTATTTTAGTGGTCTAACAGGGGGCTTCAGGGTACCTTTCCTGTTGAATGATTTAATGGCATTAATCCAACAGGCTCTTTCACACACAGGCTTGTGCACATTCATATCCATTACTGAACAAAAATGTTGTGTGATGAAAAGGTCAGCAGCAACGCTGGAAAGGTGATTAACTGTTGACTGAGGCTGCAGCGAGCTTAGTGCCAAACAGCACAACCAGCCGTAGCGAGGGCCACAGCAGGCTGGTCCTGCAGCTCCGTAGCCACTCTCTCTCCCTCTGTTCTTGTTTCAGCAATACCCAGAATCTGGAAGGACTCAGGACTTCTGCTCCTGCTCTCACCACCACTGAATGTTAATACACAATGCATGAATTTCCCAAGGTAGACCAATCACAATCTTAGCATACTTTTCATTAAAATAATGTTTTGAGGCTACATATTAAGCACATGCAATAGTCTATCAATTTATTCAGATCTCTTTGGTGTCTATTTTCTAGTATGTTTCCCAATTTCAAGTGATATAAAAACCAACCTCAGAGAAAAATATTCCTTATGCCTGGACTGCTGACCAGATACAAACAACTCATAATGGGATTCTTATTTTTCCCCCCTGGAATTCTCCATATATCGGACACATTTTTTTTCATTTCAATGGGACTATAAGAAGTACTTCAAATTCTTAGAGAAAATGGAAATTTCTAACATTTATTTATTTCTTTTTGCAGAGAGAAAAGCAAGATTTTTTAAGCCAGAAACCTCCTGCTGAAGCAGCCTAGAGGGGGGTTCCAAGAGAGGCAAACCTGATTTCTAACATTTATTGAATGCTCATATTATCATTTTTTCCATTAAATTATTTCAATAAACTTTGAAAAGTGAGGTCAGAATTTGTGAGGCAGTATGTTTAAGATGACAAATAGCATGCAACCAGTTGGTGAAGAATTTAGAAGCTATAAGGCTATCTTATACTCACACAAAATTGGTTTCCTTTTCATGTTTTCCATGGCTAAGAAGATCTGAACTTCAAGCTATGCAGAGTTTTTTTCTGCCCTCAAAGGAGTATTCTGGGTTCATTTATTAATTTTCTCTAAGAACTGACTAGACCAGGAATGCCATTACTTGTTTTCGTTTCTATTTCTCACAAGGTACATATAATATGCCAACTCTCTGGCTCCTTGTCCTCCCCTCTAGCAGAGTGTGTGTCTTGTTATCATAGTACTTGTAACCACTCTGAGACACTTTTTCTGCTTATCATAATACTTCTATCCCAAGGCTCTCTCTTGGAGGTAAATGGCTTACTCGTTTAGCCACTGAAAGACATAACGAGTTTGACCTTAGTATTTTTGATAAAGTGTTTTCCTGGGGAAGTGAAAGGCAGATTATAGAGGGCTGCTACCCAATTAAGGCAGCTTGGTAGCCTCCATAGCCTATGGGTACAGAGGAGGTCACGGATGACCTACACTGCTAGGACCGCATATGCTGTCAGTATTGATCAGTCAAGCCTACAGCAAGCACTTCTTTAATAAAAGCAGAGAGTGGTACTATAAAACAGGAAGTAGGTACCAGAGAGAAAGATTCTATAGAATTTATGGATCCCAAGTACACGACTCTGAAGCTGTTACAGCTTTATCAGCAGCTGAGATTCAAAACAAACCAATCTTACTGTCGATGACAGATATGACAAGCCTCGCAACACTCTGCCTCATGAAGCCAGCGAAGGCTGAGCCAGTCCTCCGCGTGGCTGACTACAGGATTGAGCGCTGTCATTTCAAAGCCCTTCCCTTACTTTTTGGGTCCCACTTGGCCCACGTTGACTCGCACACAGATGACTTTTCTTGTCTGCATGCCGACGGAGCAAGAGGCCTCCCCATTCCAAGTTGCACTGGTGTTGAAGGACGATACGGAGGTGTCCTCGATGCACTGGCCCCAGGGACCAGTCTGCCAGTGGTACACGGTACAAGGATGCTCGTTACAGCTGCGTATCTCTTGAAGAGCACTGGTGTTTGGACAGCGAATTCCACCTATAAAATGGACACCAGCAGATTAGATATGGTTCCAACGGGCACCTCACCATTCTTTATTCTTTGCAATTAACATGGTTAACAACAATGATAACTGCCATTTTAATTTTGTTTTAGCATATAGCGCGTGATTAGCTCACGGCTGGGGATTCAAATTGTACATTATTCTTACTTCAGTTGGCACAGTCTGGCTTAAAATCTAAACTATATAATATGCATGATGTTTGCTTTGAGGTCTACAGAGATCTGACAGAGAAGGGCCTCTGTTCTCCAGAGAAGTGGGAAGATGAGCTAAAAGTGAAGCCCGTGTGATGATGGACTCGGAGAAACCCTGGCATGGAGCCGCAGTGGATGGGAGAAACCACATTGTCCCCTAAGTGGAAAGCCTGAATTCCAGGTTTAAAAATCCTGCTTATTTTAATGTATCAGGCTTCAAGGTGATTAGAAACAGAGGTATTAACATTTAATGATACGTCATGATCTTCCAGGGCATGACCCAGTCTCGGATGCGATGGACTGCACAATGCGCCATCATCTTGTGTCCCCAAAAAAAGAAATGGCTGCAAATTAAACTGTGATACAATGGTTTCTGATCAACTCAAATTTTTATTGTACCCTTATTGCCATAGCTTTTTATTACTTACCCTGTTTTTATATCATTCTTTTGCAGATACCAAAAAGAGGTATTCCTAAATTTCTCTGCCTTCACAGTACAAATCTTTGAGTCATTTTCAAACTTTTACTCCTTAAAGAGTGTGTTTTCTGTACAATATCTCATTGTGATATCAAAGCTTTGGTGATGCAATATTTTTAAAGAGTTCTCCACAGCTGTCTGAAGATATTGATTCTTATCTCCAAGTTTAGATACAGTTATACAGTTGCTTTCTCACTTACCCTAGAAGGTGTCAATGAAAATTTTAAGCAAGCAACCAGAATTTGTCTTCTCTCCTCAAATGTCCCTTAGATGTTTTTGTTTTCTTGTAGAAGGCTTATGGGATTGTTATTTCCACCAGGCATTAACCCCAAATTTACAAATGCAAGCAATGACAACTATGTCCTAACTATTGCTTGACAACAACGGTTTTGAAATGCACTCAATGAAATAACCTTAAGTGCTAAAACAGATGCACCTTAATCAAAGCATATGAGGTGGGAGTTATCATTCTAGAAGTCTCTCATGTGCTCAATCCCATAAGTATTTTGCAAGTGGGACCTCATTTTGTGTTCATAACTGTCCGATGAGTTACAAATTATTATGTGGGAGAAAACAAACGGCCTAGATGATGAGACCATGGTAACAAAGCAATGTATGGAGCCCTGTTTCTTCTTACCTGGCTACTTCTGAAGGCATTTATGAAAATTAAATCTCATACTGTCAAAAACAGGGTATTGGAGGTATGTCTTGGTTACTATACTGACAATTTGATCCACTGGAATTTATGCAGCCTCTGAATATTATATTAGAAACAAAAGAACTGGCTGCTGATGTGGAATGGTGGGAATCCCTAGTATTCATCACATATATCTGAATACAATAGATGTGGGTTGAAGATGATTAGGTGGGTTTTAGATAGTAGGAAGGAAGTTTCAAAAAGTTACAAATACATAAGAACAGGTGATTCAACAGCTAGTGATCCTAACATGGAAGATGACCCAGTACTCCTGAGATGGGGCACAGGTCACAAGGAAAGCCAACGGCCACACCTTGTGCTGATCTTCAGGTGTCACTTCCCTTATGATTAAGGACATCCCTCTAGTCAGCAAATCCATGTGAGAGCTTAACTGCAATTTAGAAATATTTATGCAGTGTTGAACATGGGCTCAACATCAGAATAACCTGCATTAAACAGCATTTCATTAATGTTCACTGCTTCATGAAGGTGAAAACATCTGTCACAGTTCATCTCCCATCCTCCATCACACAGCTCTGTGACCCTGGCAGCCCCAGCAAAGAAGTTTAGGAACTGAATAGGAATGAATCCTAAAACATACTAATTGGATGGGGGAGAAATAAATGAGCACTCCAGTCACCTGTTCCCCAGGGCACTAGATTTATCCAATTCTAACTCTCAGATAAACACATGCTAACCACACACACACACACACACACACACAGATGATTTTAACAACTCTTTTATAATTAATAGTACAATTACTGATCTTCCACAAAAAATGTTTCTTTGGTCACCCCTTTTATTTTTCGCTGTGAATATAAGTATGCTATGAAAGCTTTGATAGTAAAAACTGAATTGTTTTTGACATTGGAAGTGACTGGTTGGCTTTGGGAAAAATTAGGGAAAAGTAACTTCAACAACATCAGCATAATGTGTCAAGGAACTTGCAAGATAGCTGTTAAGTTTATAGACATAAAGGTTATTTATTTTCTTGCCCCAATTCACATTAAAGCTGCATCAGCAGTTTTGGTTTGATTTCAGGATACTCGGACAGAGAAGACCCAATGTGGTCTTAATTATATCAACAGCATGGCAATTTTGAAAGTATGGTTTGGAATAATCAGTCATTGCAGCATTATCAAATTGTATGGGGAATAATTTTATGGTAGAAAAATTGAAATCCATATATAGTATTGAATGTATCTATTATTTATGAGAAGATCTAATTCCATACATCTGGGAATACTTCCATAGAACTGGGAAAATTATAAAACGTGACCCATAATGAAATTAGTAATAAGGGTACTTTTTAAAACTCTGCACATAAAAATATATGCCTCATAGTAATACCATTATATTAATATTCTATGATTCTGTGAAAGAGGACTTTATAAAATCTTGATGAAATTCTGCTACATAAACATTTATGCCTATATAAAAATACTAACTACTCTGTGAAATTCTTGTCTTAGAATTGAAAAAATGACTTTTCTTCTCCACATCAAGTTCATAAAAGTTTTACAACGATGTATTTGAACAGAGTTTTGGTGTTTCTGCCTCTGACATTGATGTCCTTACAATTTAGATGATAGATGAACTGAAAAAACTGTTCAAAATAATAACTGGATTCACACATACTGAGTGCGATATGCACTGGTGATGTGGTATGCTTCTTCAGTGGCCACCAGAGGGGATTAGAAAGAATTCCCACTATTCTCAAACATGTCATAATGCAGAGGGAAGAAGCAGTAGGGGGATGGGACAAAGGTACAAATGTGCACATTCTGGATAGAACATAATAATTATGTTAAGAGAAGTATTTCCTTTAACTGGGATTTAAAGGCATAAGATTCCATTATTTTGAGGACATGAAAAGTACCTTAGGTAGAAGGAGGCTTTAAGATGAATACCGAAGGGGTAGGAATTTGAACTTTAGGATGGGGGAGATGAGAAAGCAGGATTTTTCCTGAGCAGTAGTGAAAACTGGTAAGAACAAACACATAGAGGAGGTATGGCCCTGGGAATTAGTAATGCTTGTGCAGTGAATTGCAGTGTAGAGTTCACCGAGGAAAGAGACTGCAACAAGGATAAAGAAGTGAACTAGGCTCTTGTTACCAAGAGACTGTTCATATCCTAGGAATTAGAGTTCTAAGGCTTTTATCTTTGCCAGCTTTTGCAGCCCCAATCCCTTTGATAGCAGAGCGCTGCTGAGTAAAAAGCACACTGGCAAGGTGTGCTTAGGGAAACTGAATGGGAAGAGCTTTGGGAACAAAGTGCTGTAGGAGACGGCTGCAAAGCGGCCCCATCTCCACTTTCTCCTGGCAGAAAGAAGTAGAAGACTCGTCCCAGGGAAGCCTGCTTAAGTCCTGTGTAATGGTCACAGAGTGACAGACTGAAGTAGAATTTCTTTTTCAAGATCAATAGTGGGAGGATGGTGGAGTGACTGTATATACTCAGAAAGCTGAGTTAAGTCTGTGTGATACGCACGTGCGCGCGCGCGCGCACACACACACACACACCACATGCACATAATGGATCCTGGGTTTTTTAAATCATCTAGAAAATATAGGCAGCCCCAGGCTTTTAGTATTAAAATCATTTAGCTGTAAAAACTGAAAAAGTAAATTCTTTCTGTTGATGTTTTTTATTTTGAAATGTGATTTTTGATGTCTGATGATTATTTGAGAAAAAATGGCAAAATTTGACTCCAATTTGTATCTATTCTCTGCAAGTATAAAGTAGGTGTCAAAGCACATTAATATTTGGCTGATTAAGTTATATCAGGTCATTCTGAACCTTGTAAAAATATTCTCTGGTTTTCACTCTTTAAGGATTATTAACTATATAATGATAATCAATGGAAGTTGTTACTATATTCAGTGGAAAACATTTTGAAAATCAATGGTTTTCTTTTTATGACATTTGATGAGGATCTACCAAAGGGTTTCAAAATGCTGAGGCCAAAAAAATCTAACATTAATTTTTAATTTTTTGTTCAACTTTAACCTACTAGTATTTATTAAAAATATGAAGAATTAAGAATTAAAGGATTGATTCCTTTTAGCACTTCCAACATAACTTAAACTAGCTTTTGGGATATATTCCACAGTTTGCACAATACAAAGAAAATTCTTACTTTAAGTTATCATACAATGTTTAAAAAATGAATTATCAATTTTATTTAAGGAAAAGTCAAGCCTTAGGCAAATACACAATAGACATAGATGATTATTTTAAGTGAAGAAAATGACTTGTGATTTGCTTCCACTTGTGATTATGGTTTCTAAAAACCATATGGTCATCTGCATAGATGCAGAGAAAGCACTTGATAAGGTTGACCACGTCTTCATGATAAAACCCTCCTTGAATTAGGTAAAGAAAGAAATTCCTCAAAATTATAAAGACTATGTTTATCACAGACCAACAGCTGGTATCACACTGAATGGGGAACAAGTGAAAGCATGTCCCCTCAGATCTAGAACAAGATAAGGATTTCTGCTTTCACCACTTTCACACAACAGAGTGCTGGAAGCTTTAGCAAGAGCAGCTGGGGAGGAAATAAAGCACATCAAAATGGGAAAAAAGGAAGTCCAATTATCCATGTGT